GGGGGGGGGGGGTCTGATAGTATGCAGCATTTGACTCAGTAATTAGTTCCCATATTAGGATGTCTTGCAGCCAGAGCAGCTGATTTACTCCGGGTTACCATGGCAACGTGGGTTTTAAAGGCGGAATGTGCTCATCTCGTGTGTGTGTGTGTGTGTGTGTGAAAGCCAACGCTGGAGTGAGTCACAACTCGGTTTCTTTTAATAACACTCATGAATGAGATGTTTCTTTTTTCTTCGTTAAAAGTTGCAAACGCTGCGTTTGGGGTTCGATGGGAAACCAGAAGCAGGTCAGAGCTGGACGGGCGGCTTGAGCTGAAAGCTGAGCAGGTTGCAGCCTCTGGGGGGCCCAACGGGGCGGAACGGGGCCCAATGGGGCGGAACATGGCCCAATGGGGCCAAACGTGGACTAACGGAGGCTAATAAAGACTAATGTGGCCGAACGGGGACCAATGGGGCGGAGTGGGGACTAGTGGGGACTAATGGGGCCCAACGGGGCCGAATGATCGGGGCCCAACGGAGGCTAAAAGAGCCTAACGGGGCCGGATGGGGTCCAACGGGGACTAACAGGACAGGAGGCAGAACGAGGACTAACAGGGCCAAACGTGGACTAATGGGGCCCAACGGAACAGGAGGCGGAACGGGGGCTAACTGGGACCAACTGGGCCAAACGTGGACTAATGGAGCCTAACGGGGCCCAATGGAGCCTCATGGGGCCGGATGGGGCCCAACAGGGACTAACGGAGCCTAACGGGGCCCAAAGGGGACTAACGGAGCCCAACGGGGCCAAACGTGGACTAACAGAGCCTAACGGAGCCCAACAGGGTCCAATGGGGCCTAACGGGGCTGAGCGGTCAGCGCTGTTGGTGCTGCATGAGGCCATCGGCCCCCCAACCAGCTGAGCCCTCCTCCATGTTTGTGTGCGTGTGTGCGTGTGCTTGTTTTTCTGCGTTTGGCTTCTTTCCGCCGGCTGAACATGGAGCCCTGCTCTCATCGGCTGAATCTGGGCCGAGTCCGGCCCCTCAGCTGGGAACTGGGGCATCTCGGAGCTAAAGAACTGCCTCCGGTGTTTGGCGCTCGGCTTAAAACCTGCTCAACTCCCTCCATGCTGCGTTCAAGTCCCCCTCGTAAATGTCAGCATTTCTGCTGCTTATTACGACAAAAAGAGTGTTAGTTTAACCTCCTGAGAACTGAGTGTGGTGTTTGTTTAGCTTTTTTTCTTTAGATCTCTGGATCAGGAGGAGCTGATTAGTTTAATAACCAGATTTTGTCTTGGTACAGGTAGTTTTTCTTCATAAAAGCTCAGTGGGTTTATCTTTAGATTTTAAATGTTTGTTTAAAGATTTATTAAAATGTGTTTGTGATTTGGTTCAGAGGGTCCAAATGATTTATTTAAAACATTTGTACTCTACCATGAGAACATGATTGGTCTAAAATGCCTAAAAGCATTTAGATTTCAAACAGTAAAAAGGAGTAAAAGCTGAAATGTCTGAGCTCTTTGAACACAACAATGATTTTCCTTCATCTAAAGATCTAAAAAAAGCAGATTTTTCAATGATTTTCTAAAGAATTCCCCACACAGATCATCATCCCCATTTAAATGGGTCACACACAGTATCCTCTCCTTTTTCAGGTCACATGGGACAGCATGCCCTGCTCCCATTGGCCCATTTGTATAAAATGTCAAAAACCATTTTCCTTTAAATAACAAACGTCTGACTTTTGACCAAGAGGTCAAAGGTCAAAGAAAAAAGAAGGATCCTGGTACAGAGAGGCAGAAATGCAGCATCCTCTCATCAGAACAGGAAATCAGGAGGGTAAATATTCTTTACATCTCTAATTTGGGCGTTTACCTCCTGATTTAACT